ATTAAGTCAAAACTAAATCAAAAAATTTTTACAGTGTCAAATCTTGTAGATTTGATAATAAACAGTGTCAAATCTTGTAGATTTGATAATAAAGCTAAGTCAAATTAGTTTGAATAGGTACGTAAAAAATGAGCTATCAAAATTGGAGTTGATCTGTTATGTACATAAATAAACTAATTTGACTTAGCTTTATTATCACATCTACAAGATTTGATACCGACAACAAATTTAAGTGAATATATGAGGCAAATGATTAGTATATGTTAGGATAAAGTAAACAATGTTGATGAGGTGGGTCGATAGAAAACAAGTCTCACTCTCTCACATGTAGAGATACTCTAGAATATGGATATACTATTGAGAATTGTTGTTGAGAGACATATGTTAACAATATTTTTTAGACATAGCCATAATGCTCGCCCAATTAATTAAGTATGCTGAGAGTTAGACTGTCAATTTGGAAAACTCTGATAGAGAAGGATAATGTAAGTACTCTAATAGTGATAGGAGTTATAGGAGTGAGTTTTTGCGGCCATTGAAAATAGTACCACCTCCCTCAATAAAGCAGATATTCTTCTCCATTTTCTTCTCCTTCCTAACTTCTTCTTAGTGATAGAAATTTAAATGTGCATTGAATTATAATGGATTGTCATTTGTTTATTACTAAACTATATACGAAATTGCATGAATAATGAAGAAGTGAAGGATGGAGCGGGGCAAGAAGATCACTGAGGACATATGTGGAGAGCGGGAATAGAATACATGCTACTTATGGTTACAGATTGTTTAATTAAGTAACTTTGTAGATTTTCATGGCTAATTAGATTGCTATATTTTGTTTGGGAATTCTATTTAGGTTGTTAAGTTGTTTTCGATGATCTTAAAAATTCTGTATATTAGCCTTGAATGCACGTTAAATCTGCTTGTTTAACAGGATAAACACCTGGTTCTACTTAATAGGTTTCAGATGCCCGTATCCAAAATAAATAGCACTTTCTTTCTTCTCACTTTTCTTCGACAAACATCTTGGGCAACAGATAGTTGCACTGTGATGTATTTTCTCCAAACCACATTTGTTTCTCTGTATGAATTTTTATAATTGCTGGAATATCTGGAAACTATATGGAGTACTGCCACATAAGTACAGTTACAAAGGCACATATTCTGTAGTAGAGCAATTACTGCAAATCCTACTTTGTCAACTGGTGTCATGATATTATTAGGTTCAAGTATTCCATATTTGTCAGCTACTTATTACCTTTTTAGTTGATATTAGAATCCAAATAGAATTAGTCTCTTTAAACTATGTATCTGCTACTTAATACTATATATTTCATGCTTAGTCTCAGTTTGTGTTTTGGATTTCACCAAGTATCCCTATAAACAAGTGGGGGAATGCGTCAAAGACCAGGACGATGACCTGATAGTATGGGACTATGTATCAACGACCAGTTGCTGCCGGAATCCCCTCAACTCCTTATCTCAAGCTCTCGCTCAATGGTCCACTCTCAACCAAGAGATCTTCTTAAGTCAACAAGGATGGCAAAATTGCACTTCTTTTTTGCAAGGTCAAGGCAGAGCATCAATAAATTCATGTGGATTTGGTTATTTATACCAAGAGAATGGCAAGTGTGCAAGTCTCACCTTATCTTCTTTCAAGATTAAGTATGCTAATCTTTACAGACAAGCACTGGAGAAGTGCGCACAATTCAGTCTCCCAAGCTTTGATGAACTTTGTGCTCTATGCGTGAACGAGATGTCAATTATGATGAACCGCATTATTGAAGATCTTAAAGTTAAGGGAAATGATAAAGAAGAAGAGATGTGTAGCATCGCAACTGTAATTGCTGTTGCTTCCAGTAACATTAGGTATGCTTCATGGGTTGAAGACTTTTACAGATGCTTACCAGCTATGGATACTAAGGACAGACAAGGTCCCTCCCTCTCTTCCTCTCTCATTCTTGCCTCTTATTATAACCTTTTGATGCCTCCTGTAACTCCCAGTTACTTAGCTACTCTGTAATTAAGACGAATATCATTTCACCAAACTAATCTGTTACCAGATTTTGGGAGACGGGTTGCTTCACAGGGTTAAATTAGATTAAAAAAAAAAACTAGTTTATGCTTTACTACTATGGTATCAAGTTGATATAACTCTTTGACTTGGTTGGGATTTTAAAATTCACTCATGCTGCAAAGTTAATAAACTACTATTTTATCATGACATGCTTTTATGAAAACAAGCATCTAATCTAGGAACTTTAACCTACTAATTCATTTATTTTTGTCAAAAATAGTTCCAGTTTAGTTGAATTCTGATGTATTTGAATCAGAATCTCCCTTCTTCTTAATTTCTCTTACCCCTTCTATACACCTCTTTGTGACACTCTTAGCTTAGCTAAAGATAGAAGCATAAGGAAAGTGGATATTAACATTTCCGCCCCTATGCATGAAAGACACTTTACAAGAATTAAATCATTTATAATTATAATTACTTCAAGTAGTAGTTTTTCCCCCCTGAAATCTGTTGAAAGGAACAGGGTTGCAAAGGCTCAACTCACAAAAACTTTGCAGGACGGAAACATAGTACTTTATTAAATGATGGAGACCTTTTACTTGGGTTTCTACCAATCATAGCAAAACCCAACTATTTATACACAAGGAAATCTACCAGTGGGTGAAGCTAGCAAACTCTACAAGAAGCTCTCAACTCATGACTCTTTCATTGCTACAATTTCTCCATAAGACTCGTTCCTCTCTGACACACACTAATAACTAACTAATAGGTAAACAGCTCACCCACACACACAAACACACACTAACATGCAGGCACGACGCAACAAGTTTAACTCAACATTCTCCCCCTTAAACTTGTTGTATCTTTTTCACATTTCTTGCCCTGATCTTGGTCCGCAGCTCGACGAATCTCTGACGCCCAAGAGGTTTTGTTAGAACGTCGGCAAGCTGTTCTTCTGTTTTCACATACTCCACTTCGATCTCCTTCTTCTGGACACAATCACGTATGAAGTGATACTTTATTTCTATATGTTTGCTTCTTTCATGGTACATCGGGTTCTTCATGAGAGCAATGGCTGACTTGTTATCAATTTTGAGAACAGCCGTCACATTCTTCTCCCCAATCAACTCTCCCAGCAGGCGACCCAACCAAACTCCTTGGTAAGCAGCCGCCGATAGCGCCACCACTCTTTGTTTTTGTGACACCCAAGTGATTGGGCTTGCACCAAGAAAGTATATGACTCCCGTGGTGCTCTTGCGGTCGTCAACATCTCTGGCGAGATCACTATCACTGTAACCTATCAACCCAGTTTCTGACTCCTTCCTTCTTCCATAGACGCAACCATGATTGATGGTACCTCGCACATACCGCAGTATCTGTTTCACTACTGCCATAAGCTATAGTTGGAGCTTCCATGTATCTACTCACTACCCCAATAGAGTATGCAAGATCTGGCCTAGTATTTACTAGGTACCTTAGACTCCCGACGACACTTCTGTACATGAATGTGTCAACTGGCAGGCTTGCATCCGTCTTGCTCAGCTTCATTCTCGGCTCTATGGGGACTTGGCAATGGTTGCAATCTGCCAACTTCAGCTTCTCTAGGATCTTCATAGCATACCCCGACTGACTTATTGTTATTGCATTCGGATCCTGCCTCACCTCAATCCTATGATAGTAACTCAAGAGCCCGAGATCACTCATCTCAAACATTCTCTTCATTTTCTCCTTGAACTGCACAATGTCCTTGACATTTGATCCGGTGATGATGAGATCATCAACATAAACCCCCACAACCTGAACTGCAGTACCTTGCTGCCTTTTTGTACACTGCATGCTCTAGAGAACACCTTTCAAAGCCGAGTGACTAAAGACATTTTTCGAGTTTCGAATTCCAAGCGTGGGGAGCCTGTTGCAGCCCGTACAATGCTTCTTCAACCTCAGTACTTTTTCTTCATGGCCTTCTTCTACAAACCCCTTTGGTTGTGCTACGTAGACCTTCTCCTCTAGCTCTCCGTTTAGGAATACGGACTTGACGTCCATATGATGTACCTCCCAGTCTTCTTGTGCTGCTAACGCGATCAACATCCTTACGGTCTCAAGCCTTGTGACTGGAGTGAATACTTCGTTGAAGTCCACACCTTGCTTTTGCACATACCCCTCTGCCACGAGTCAAGCTTTGTACTTGATCACATCACCTTTCGAATTCTTCTTAACTTTATACACCCACTTTAGAACGATTTTCTGGTGCCCTTTCGGAAGATCAGCGAGTTCCCAGGTGTGATTCCTTTGTATGGCTACAATTTCATCTTCCATAGCTTTCTTCCAGCTGTCACTGTCCTTAGCTTCTTCAAAACTTGTCGGCTCCTCGACAGAGAGGAAACACAGTGCTGTTTCTTATTCCACCTCTCGGGTCTCATCATATATTTCCTGTAAGCTACGTTATCACAAAGGTCTTTCAGAACTTGCTAAGGATTCAGGTGTACCTTCATGTGCAACTATGTTGTTTTTCAGTTCTTGGTGTACTTGCTGGCACAGCTGGGGTTCTTGGCTATTTCTCAGCTTCTGCTTGCGCCGGCTCATAATGCACTATAAACACCTCATTTGAGTTGCACACCTTGTGACTTTATGTGGTGGAAGACTCCCAGTTCCATTCTCTATCTGTATCAAAGATTATGTCCCTCCTCACGTGCAACTTCTTCTGGTCTGGATCATACATCCGGTACACCTTTGAACTAGGTTCGTAGCCGAAAAAGACCATCGGTACACTTCTATCGGATAGCTTCTTCAAGTGTGGGCTTATTGTTTTGACATGTGCCACACAACCAAACACTCACAAATGTTGGACATTTGGCTTTCTTCCTGTCCATGCTTGATATGGTGTCATTCCCTCCAGACTTTGAGTCGGCGCTCAATTAAGCAAATATACCGCAGTCCTCATAGCTCCCCCCAGTATACCAACGGTACAAGCTTACTCTTTAATAGACTTCTTGCCATGCCCAACACTATTTGGTTTCTCCTTTCGACCATGTAGTTCTGTTGAGGAGAGTACGGCATAGTCAGATATCGCTTGATCCCCAACTCTTTGCAGTAAGAGGTGAATTCATTTGAGGTAAATTCACCTCCCCGATCAGTTCGAAATGCCTTCAGTTTGTTCTCAACTTCCGCCTCAACACTCGCCTTGAACTTCTTGAAAGCAACAAAAGCCTCACTCTTGTTTTTCAGCATTACTACCCACATATATCTACTATGATCATCTACTATTAGCATAAAATATTTGTTACTTGTCGGTGTAACCGGTGTGATCGGGCCACAGAGGTCGCCATGCACGAGTTCAAGCGGCTTGTCGGCTTGAAAACTTGTGCTGTGAGGGAAGGGAGTTCTGTGGTGTTTGCCAATGATGCAGCCATCATAGATCTATGTCACGTGCTCTACGGCAGGCATTCCGATCACTATCTCCTTCTGGGCCAACTTCCTCAGGGCTAGAAAGTTCAAGTGCCCATACCGAACATGCTAGTGTCACGCATCATCTCCTAGGCTTCCCATCAAGCACACTGGATGAGCCACCTTGAGGTTGAGTACGTACAACATATTCTTAGACTTCCTCATGTTGGCCAAGTGCTTGCTGCTCCTGTCATAGATACGCAGATGACCTCCCTCCATAACTATTTTGCACTCATTTTCCTCTAGTTGCCCAAGGCTCATGATATTGCTGCATAGCTTTGGTATATAATACACATTTGCTAGAAGTTTATGCTCACCGTTCTGGCATTGAAGCATGATGGTTCCACTCCCTTGTATCTCCACGATCGAGCCATTGCCGAATTTAACTCTGCCGCACACCTTCTCATCGAGGTCTGAGAATTTCTTCTTACAACCAGTCATATGGTTGCTAGCACCAGTATCTAGGTACCAAATGTCGGTCTCGAAGACCAATTCTTCACTGCTCAATCTTGGCTTCATATTTTCTTCGTGAAACATCATCTTTTCTCCCTCTTCTTGAGTCATGTACAGGGACTCACACACCTCTGTCAGGAGCAATGCAGGTTCATCATCGTGTTGCTTTTCAGCAAAGTGGGCTCTATCCTCCTTCTTTGGTTTCTGGCATTAAGAGGTGTAGTGATCATGGTTCTGACAGTTGTAGCAGCGGACCTTCGCCTTGTCGAACTTGTGATACTTCTTGCCAGAGTCATTGTAGCGCTCCTCATCTCTGCGCCGCGCCCACGCCCCCGGCCACGGCCGTGGCCATGACCACCACCGCGCCCATGACCACCTCCTCCATCTCACTCTTTTCAGCCACTACCGAAGCCCTCACCTCCTTTTTTCTTCACCTTGGACTCCCATTCAGCCCGGATCAGCAACGCGTGCTCACCTTTTGTGTCGCCAAAATCTCGCAGTCGCTCTTCATGTGCCTTGAGCCGACCAAACACCTCCTCGGCCGTCATCTCACTCAAGTCACCGAACTGCTCCAATGTGGAAGCAATTTGCAGAAACTTTGGTGTTATCGCTCGCAACACCTTCTCCACCACAGCAATGTCATCCATCTTCTCCCCCATGGCGTGCATTTTGCTGACCACCGTGTTCAGCCACACAGTGAACTCATCGACGGACTCCCCTTCTCGCATACGGAGAGCCTCGAACTCCATCTTGAGCTTCTGTAGTTTCGCCCTCGTCACACGATCGGCCCCCATGTACATGGACTTTAACGCAGTCCACACATCTTTGGCCATCGTCTTCTCAGCGAGGAGAAGGAGGATCTCATCGTTCACCCCCTGGTAGATGGCCGCGAGTGCTATCTTGTCGCGCCGGTTGTCGACTCTACCCTCGGCCTCGACGGCGTCCCACACGCCCTGAGCCTGCATGTAGACCTTCATTTTTATGGACCACGCCGAGTAGTTGCTGCTCGTTAGTAGTAGGTATTTGAGTGTAATACTCTCCTCTCTTCCCTCCTTCGCTGTCGCTTCTCCGTCGGTGACATGACTTGATGGCGATGGAGACTCCGATCTTTCCATGATCTTAGGCATTCACACACCGCGGCTCTGATACCAAATGTCGAAAGGAACAGGGTTGCAAAGTCTTAACTTACAGAAACTTTGCAGGAAGGAAACAAAGAACTTTATTAAATGATGGAGAGCTTTTACTTGGGTTTCTACCAATCAGAACAAAGCCCAACTATTTATACACAAGGAAATCTACCAGTGGGTGAAGCTAACAAACTCTACAAGAAGCTCTCAACTCATGACTCTTTCACTGCTACAACAAGTTTAACTCAACATTCTTGTAATATTTATTCATCTGCGGTGACTTATAATAGGTCAATTTATATGATTATCTATTTTATCATGTGGTTTAGAGTTTTAGAGACTTGCCCGAGATAACAACTTGGTTAAGAACTACTTTCTAGAGTTATGTTTTTCTGAGTTATATATTATATATATATATTAATATTATATATATATATAATATATATATATATATATATATTATATATATATATATATATATATTATATTATATATATATTATATATATTAGTATATATGAGAGAATAATAGAGGTGAGCTGCAACTCACTTCCCCGTGCAGTTGCAAGTGTATAACATGTGAGCCCCCTACTAGTCACATCGGTGTGGGGCTCACATGTCATTACACTTGTAGCTCGATCGGGAGCTGTGAGCTGCCAGCTCACCTCCATTATTCTCATTATATATATTATATATATATATATATATATATATTATATATATATATATAATATATATATGTGGGAGAGAGAGATCTTTTTATTCGCTTAGAATATTTACTCATCAATGAATACACCAAATAAGTGATTATAAATATGTTAATAATTAGATAGTATTTCCTATGTAGGCCACTAAGTAATTGTAGTATATCATATCTGAAGTTAGAAAGTATAATTCTAAGAAATATATAGATTTAATTAGAACTATACTGAGAATACACAATTAGTGAATAATCAGCTTTCAGATTTTATGATATTCTCATTGCTGTTCTGCACTCCCTTTTTATTTGCTAGTTTATCTTTTATGAGCTTAACTGTATTTGTTATTCTTTTGCCGATTTTTATTTATTTATCCTGTCTTGCAGCCTCAAGTGATGACTACGTCAAAATCAAACGTAAGTGCAGTTTCACCGTATTTATAATGCATTTTGCCATCCTGTGAATCAGCCTCTCACCTATGGTCTTATATATTTTGGTGTGCAGGTAGTTTCTTCAACATACTACTAGTTATATTTATTGCAATAACAGGCATGGTTCTTTTGGTCCTACTCATTAAACTTGTGACAAGGAAAACTCCTGATAGATCTATTGAAGGTACTTTACCTCTAACAGTATAAAAATGTAAAAAAATAAAAATTTGCGTGCTACTTCTTTGTTTAAAAATGTATACTGAAAGAGTTTTCTTCCTTCATTGTGTCAATCTACAAGGCAAAGTAATGGGTACGTGGTCAGGTCTCTATAGATTTTCAAAAGTAGAGATTGAGAAAGCAATAAATTACGGAAATAGCAAAGTCAGCCTAGGGTCAGGAAGTGCTGGCCGAGTCTACCAAGGTGTTCTTCCTAGTGGGCAGCTCGTAGCAGTGAAGCATATATACAAGAACGCCATGTCTGATTCTTTCACGAGGGAAGTCGAACGCCTGTCAAAGATTCGGCACCCTAACTTGGTTGGTCTCCTTGGTTGTTGTATAGAAAATGGGGAGCAATACTTAGTGTACGAATATTGCGGCAATGGGAATCTTGCACAGAATTTGTTGAGTAAGTTGACTGTTTTAATTAAGCTTTCAAAAAGGTGATATCTTATGTAATGTTGGAACTTAAGTTGATGACACTTACGACAGGGAGTGACAGAGTCCTCCCGTGGGACAAACGAGTGAGGATATTGAAAGACTGTGCTCTTGCTCTTAGGTTTCTCCATACTCATCCAGATGGTTGTATTGTCCATAGAGATATCAAGGTAATTGGCTGAATATCTTAACAAATAGCTGCAGATAAAATGGCCTTTGAATCCTTTTCTCCTTGCCTAACTTGTTAAATTTTTTTTATCACTTGCAGCTAACAAACATCCTACTAACAGAAACTATGGAACCAAAGCTTTCAGATTTTGGTTTAGCAAAGTTGATTGGAATTGAGGAGAGTAAAGTCTTTACAGATGTGAGGGGAACCATAGGCTACATGGATCCTGAATACATGACAAATGCTAAGCTCACAACAGCAAGCGATATTTATAGTTTTGGTATAGTGGTCTTGCAACTTCTATCAGGGAAAAAAGTTATTGAATTGGACATCGAAGCTCGGGAAACATTAACAACAAAGGTATTTTTAATATTACTGCACAAACATGAGGTGAGAACTATGACAAGTTGATGGTTTTCTTTTTCGTACATACAGGCCAAGGATGCTGCATTGGGGAGACGTCCGCTCGAGGATTTTGTTGACCCTCGACTAAATGGCGAACTTAATTTGAAGGATTTTGAGTCTATCTTACGTGTTGCTGTTCTTTGCGTTGCTAGTTCAAGCAGGGGGCGCCCCACAACCAAGGAAGTTTATGATGAGATGAATAAAGCATGGAAAAACACATTTACTACCACGGTTAGTTAATGCCTAATACAACATCTAGCTCTAAATAAAAATTCTAGCCTTAGTTTGTTGTCTTCTAAAACACTAATCTTGTTTTATAATTTAATGCAGCCTGCTCTGGCTAGGAGAGTAACTCGTCAACTATCCATGTCGCGGTCTCGATCACATTCCCTCTCGATGGAATTTATGGAGGTTTAATTAGTAGGGGCGAAACTTTATGAAACTGATGCACATAAATTCATCTATATCCTTCAGTATCTCTTCCATACTATGTTTTTTATTTTTTTAAAGGGAAAGACGCCTCTCTTCAACACTCTCGCAATCCTGCCATTGTGGGTGTTGAGATTCTACATGATAAATGGGTCATCTTCTTCTCTATGTTGAACAATGGATCAATGTGTAATTATTATTCAGAGTTACGGCGAACGCAGTAGGTTTCAAAGTGTAATGTGATGTTGGATGTAAGAAATGTTTGATCTATTAATTCCAAGTATTTAAATTTCTATTCTATTATCTTTTTCTTGAGAAGACGCATCGATCCACCATGCTAAATTGATGAGGACAAGAAATGACAATTTTCATATTTGATTAGTTGACTTTCTTTTATTTTTGATTTTGGAAATTTGAAATTTGAAATTTGAAATTTGAATTTTGAATTTTGAATTTTGAATTTTGAATTTTAAATTTTAAATTTTGAATTTTGAATTTTAGTTGAGTGATTTGAGGGGTTGTTGTTTTGTTTCTATTTTTTATTGCACGTTGTGTGCACGTAGTTTTTCTTTATAAATAAGGTTATATGAGACTATTGAAAGGCAATGAATTATCGAATGAAGAAATATTTGTTAGCTAAATTTTGGTGTGAAGCCTTGGGTGTGAAACCCTAGGCCTCGGGTGCCCAACTCCTCTTCATCCCTATCAACTAGCCACCGCTACTACTCCGAGTAGCCCCCTGAATCCCTATTCTCCCTTCCCAAGCATCCTAACACGGCCGCTGACCTCATCCCGACACCTACCACCAGTCTCGACCCGACAAGCCACCCGCGTCCTCACCGCTTTCATCATCTACCATCTCGACGCTGTCGATCGCGTCACTGTTCAATTTGACGCCACCGTCGTTATCATCTTCCCGCTTGACGTCATCACCTGCGCTGTTATCTAGTCGACGCCATCGTCCTCATCGCCGCCCTCGTCGTCATCAGTTCACAGGTCGTGGTCATCGCCCAATCGACGTTGTTTGTCATCGTCAATTCACCCATCGCCACTTGATAGCCCAGTTCGACGTCGTTGCACACGTCATCATCCAGTTCACCGACGTCCGCCTCATTTTTCAACACCATCGCACTCGTCGTTATCAGATCTCCGTCTCATCATCGTCGTTTAATTCACCGTTGTCGTCGTATCACCTCCAGTGGTCTCTTACGTCGAGTCTGTTCAGACGGACGAAGGTTTCGTTTTCTTTTGTCCCTTATTTTTTCGTTAATTTTATTTTGTTAGTTAATTGTATGAGTATATCATCTCTAAACTCTTATCTTATATTGTTTGAGATTGGAATTGTTCATGATTATTGATGCAAATCTAATTAAAATCTATCTGTCATATTAATCATTTTGAATTTAATTTCCTGCCGAAGATCGTCATTTTTGGCGAAACGGTGCGCTATTTGATTTAGATCGCTGATTCTAATAGACCCCATGTCCCGTTTCGCATCATTTTTGGTATCAGAGTATGGTTCTAGGGTAGAAAATTTTTATTTTTATTTTTATTTTTTTAGATTAGTTGAGTCTTTTATTTGATTTTTTAAAAAAATCTCATTCATCTCATTTAGCTGTTTTTGCACACCATTCATCTCATCTAGTTGTTAGTGCATGCCCACTCGCACAGGTCTACCCTATCGATTAGGAGAGTCAAGTGAGTCAACTAGTGAGTTAAGCATGTCAGGCAGTGTAGAGTCTGAGCTCTTTAAGAAATTCGTTGAACTAGCAGCACGATTTGACAACACTAATGAAATGCTTGCTAGGCTCGCAGAAGTGCGCATTACAACTTCGCTACTGTAAGGTCAAGGGAATGGTCATGGGTACATCGTTCGTCGACCCCCACTTCAAGTCGTACCTGATCCACTAACCTTTGAAGGCAGGCTCGACCCAGAAGTTTTCTTGGTCTGGTTGAAGAACATGAATCGATACTTTGACTAGTATGCTTTGACGGAAATCCGCAAAATCAAGTTTGTCACAATGAATCTCACCAAACCCGCCTATCAATATTGGTCTAACCTTGAAATATTAAGACATATTAGAGGTGAGTTACCAATTTTTACTTGGCGAGAAATGGCCGACGAACTGAAACGAAAATATCTCCCGTCATCGTTTTATCATAGATTACTAGACAAGTGGCATCGTCTTACTCAGGGAACTAAATCCACAAAAGATTATGTTGCTCAATTTAATAAATTGTTTACTCGATGCAACACCATAGAGCAAGAGGCATCGATGAAAGTCTTATCAAAGTTTAGAGCTGGATTGAGAAGTGATCTCCAAACCGAACTCTTTGCTAGAGGAGTAAACACCCTTGAGAGAGCTTACGCCTTAGTTCAAGATTTAGATGAAGCCAAATTCCACCAATCTCATAGGGCTTAGGATTTTCGAACTCATTCCTCCCAGTCTTCCCGTGCCAATACCTCTAGTCAGCCTCTGAGTCGATCTAACCTTAGTTCTTCCCAGTCTAGAGTCGATCCCAAGGGCCAGAAGTTAGAGAGATCTCTCTCCAAACTTAGCCCAATAATTCAGTGTTACAATTGTCAATGATATGGGCACGTTGTTTCCATCTGTACAGCTCTGTTCAGAGTTAGAATTAATAAGCCGCCTATAACGGAATCAAAATCTATTATTGAGGAAATCGTTAACCACGCTGTAGATATGACAGAATCTAACTCTGACAAGAAAATCTAGGATAGTATAATCGAAGAACCATGCACTTCTGTTCCTTCTGAAACTACCCCTGTAATTATGGAGTTAACTGAAGTTTTATGCAATGACAACACTCTGATTATTCCCCAAGCTGCCCCTTTGATCACGGAGTTCTCTGATGTTGTCCCTGAAGCTGTTCCTGAAATTGAAACTCCAACTCCTCCTGAATTAACTTCATTGACTGAAAACGTTGTTGATATTTCCCACGAAGTCCTCTTGGACCAACGTGACACCCAACATGTTCCTGATTCGGTTCCTAAAGTGAGTCACTCAGATATCTGCATGGAAGTTGAATCCCAAATTGAGCATCATGAAATAACTACCATATTAGATATCAAACCCCCATGCATTGTCCTGATAATCACTCACACATACACTGATCCATTTTTAGAAAATATAGTGATTAGGGATACAAGTTTTAGCATGAGTGTTTTTATTTCCTTTTTCTCTCATGTTAAGTGCACAAAAACACTCCTCCTTCACGCATTTGTTTGCATGTTCTTCACTATCACTGTTAGAATAGAAAAGTTGTTATTTATATTAACGAAGGAACACCTAATCATTCCTTTTGATAGAGGACGTTATACATGTTAAGCACTTTGTTGAGTTTACATCTGTCATTGATCGCATTGTTCGAGTCAGCATTTCACCGTAATCATTTGAGTTGATTCACTTTATTTTTTGAATTGCATTGGTCATATATTAGGGAATCAATGATCTAATTTGAATAAATACATTGTGAACTAAAATGTATGATATGAAGTCAGGATATAATTTTAAAACTGTTAATGTTGATATTTTAGATGGTTTGGACTTGTCCAATACAGTTTCTTTATAACTGTCTAAGGTTTGACATGATATTTATAAACTTTTCAAACTCTTGAAATAATTAATGGCAAAATTTATATTATCGATCTGGTCATAGTTCTTTTCTAAGATATTGATTACTAAATAGTTCATAATATTATTGGTAGTCCACTGATATAAGCCTGACCCTAATCCATTGTTTCTGAGAGTTCTTTTACTTTCTGTCACTTCTATATATTCACCCATGCAGCAGTGAATTTTAATAATATTTTAGATGATGAATTTACAATGCAATCTAGCTAATGATTTGAGATGCAGGAAAGTAACTGACGACAGATTAAGATGCAGACAGAGTATATTGAAGATGACAAGTTTCTGCAACTAACTCGATGGAGTCGAGTTTTCTTCCACCTAGGGAGAATGATGAGGACAAGAAATGATAATTTCCATATTTGATTAGTTGACTTTCTTTTATTTTTTATTTTTGAAATTTAAAATTTGAATTTTGAAATTTGAATTTTGAATTTTGAATTTTGAAATTTAGTTGAGTGATTTGAGGGATTGTTGTTTTGTTTCTATTTTTTATTGCACATTGTGTGCACGTAGTTGTTCTTTATAAATAAGGGTTGTATGAGACTATTAAAAGGCAATGAATTATCTAATGAAGAAATATTTGTTAGCTAAATTTTGGTGTGAAGCATTGGGTGTAAAACCCTAGGCCTCGGGTGTGAAACCCTAGGCCTCGGGTGTGAAACCCTAGGCCAAATTGTTCTCCTCTGTCACAAACAGTCGACAAACCTTCTTTCTCCTCATACACAGCCGCCAAATTTCTTCTCTTCTCCACGTCAACAATTTCCAAACCCAACTCCCAACTCCTCTTCATCCCTCTCAACTAGCCACCGCTACTACTCCGAGTAGCCCCCGGAATCCCTATTCTCCCTTCCCAAGCATCCTAACGCCGCCGCCGACCTCATCCCGACACCTACCACCAGTCTCGACTCGACTGGCCACCCGTGTCCTTACCGTTTTCATCATCTACCATCTCGACACTGTCGATCGCGTCACTGTTCAGTTCGACGCCACCGCCGTCATTATCTTCCCGCTTGACGTTATCGCTTGTGTCGTTATCTAGTCGACGCCATCGTCCTTATTACCGCCCTCGTCGTTGTCAGTTCACACATCGTGGTCATTCCTCAGTCGATGCTGTTTGTCATCGCCAGTTCACCCTGTTGGCCTTCTTGTTTTGATGATGTTTAACAAACAATTTACCACTAATGTTGTTTGTATAGTATTTGTATTTTCTTATTTATTATAGACAAACAACGTCGTTGGAGGATGGATGGATTGCGCCATAACGATCATATCAAATGGAGGTTGACGGAATTGTGGAGTGAAGCAACGTACAATTCAAGTTAAAGATCAAGTTCAAGCTTCATCCGCAAGTGTACCAAGTCAAGCTTATTGAAAATCAAGATCGGCTTGGGTAATCTAGTTTAGGTTTTATATTATGTGTGTTAAGTATCTTAAGCTCAATATCATATACACACACGTATTTGGTTTCTATGTATATATATAGTTATATATATACATGCATGGTTTTGGGTTTTCATGTTT